AGTTTATTAATAACAACTTTAGACAGTGAGTTTTTATAGAATAAATTATAAGTAGACTTTCAAAAGCTGCAAAGTATTTTCATCAAGTTCTTGGACATTTTTGCTGTACGGTTTTCTAATGCTGGTGATGTAGGGGTTGGAAGTGTACAAAAAAGTATGAAATACGTCCTCATTTGTAGCTAATCTAGAATATTTCCTGGCATGATGAAGGTTAAATTTTTTATAACCTTTATTACGGGATTCTTGCGCATCTTTTGAAAGTTGTCCGATAGGAAGTACTGCAAAATGTTTTATTATTTTTTCTTAAATGCAACATTTTGTGCACTGAAGACGGCATAAAGTACCAGCTTTAATTACTCACACAAATGTGGGCAGTTTCTATAGCATATGTCCCGAAACTTTCAGCATTTATTATAACACCTGAGGAGAAAGCTTGTAGCTGATTTTTCACCATAAAATGCAAAAATAATTGAATGTATGTCCATCAATATTAATTCTAAATGAAAATCCAATGAAAAAACTTTTGTTATAAACAGATAGTCTGAAACCATGATAACAAGCGGTATTTTGTTTTCTGACTTTTATTACTTTTTTATTTATAACTTTATAAACCGCACGTATCCGCACCTGATTTTTATTAAATCATTTTATAGACACCTAAGCTACTAATTAATTATAAAAATAAAGCGTCGGGAAGCGTCGGTGACTGCCAAAATTATCAGTGAACTTTAAGCTTTTTTTTTTCTTTTTTACTTTATAGTTCAATTAAATATTTGCAAACAAAACCATATAATTAAAAAAATTAATTTGTTCTAAAATCTCCATAACATGATACTTTATACTTATTCATAAAAAGTTTTATAGAAAATATCTTTTAAAGTTATGAAGCAAATAAGTTTAGATTGAAAATTGTCAAAAATATGAAACGGTAAGGCTTCAAAAAAGATCTTTTTACAAAAAGTTAGGTAAAATTCCTACATTATATTAAAGATTGACTATTAAACTATTAAAAAATATATATATAAAACTTCAATAGTGAAATTGAAATTTGAACATAAAACATTTATGGTACGATTTTGTAGTACTATTTTCCACTGTGCGTCGTTTAGCTTGGATGATCCATAAGTAGGTTTACAAAAACTTCGCATGCGCAATAGCGCAATAGCACGAAGCAAAAACATTCTAGGTCTGTGTTTTCTTTAAAATCGCAAACCTGCTTTCGGATCATCCAAAAGATATATAATCCTTTCGAGTAGGTCGTATTCTGTTTAATCGTTTTCATAGTTTACATTTTTTGTCTTACCGTGTCTATTACCTTTATTTAGTTTGTTTTTAAGCATATATTTTTTTTTATTTTTTATATCGAATTAATAGAATGTCCCAAATTGTTGAGGATGAAGGTTTGTATTTATTTAGATGTGTATTATGTTACTGATTTGTATCATGTTACGTACTTAGTTCTTCAATATATGTTTATTTTTTAGTCGCTGAATTACTAAGAAGTAAGTTTTGTTCCATTTTGTTATAATTAAATGTTATAAATTGCAGTTCGTATATGTTGATGGATTTAAATTAACTTTGCAATAATAATATGGTTTAAACGATTTTTAGATTTTTGTAAATTAATTTAATCGAGAAAGATTAAATATTTATTCTATTATTGAAATAATTTAAGGAGATTGAGGAAGAATCGACTTTTGCTTTTCCTTTTAGATGACGACAGCATTATTTGGGAGAGTAAATTAAAAAGCATTTTTACTTTTTAAAAAGGAATTAAAATTCTTTATAATATATCTGGGTTTTTTTGAAGGAGGTTTAAAATTTCAGGTTTTTAAAATCTTCTTAATATAGTATCTTTAAATTTTTTTAGTCTTTATTTAATCTTTTTAATCTACTACCAAAGTGTAAATTTACTATCAATTGTTTGTTATTCTGTTTAGTTAACAACAATGAAGAAAAAGGTAGTAAGTTTAAAATGATTTTTTATTTCTTATAAAGTAGCTAAAATGTTTTTCAAAATGCTGTTGTTGATTTAAAAACTCTAAAACTGTAGGTTTTTATAATCTTATGCAATAAACCCAAAATTTCACATCTACTTAAAATTATATTTAATAAAGAAAAAAAATTTAAAATTCTTATTAAGACAGATTTTTGTCATTTTATATTAAATTAGTTTAATTAAGATTTATTTTCTTTAGTTAATAAAGAGAGAGTTCATGAAGGTGTTGTTTACATTAGTTAGGTGAATTTATTTTTAAAAAATTCGGTAGATATTTTAACGTCTATACAATTAAGTGCTTTTATTGTTTAGACAGAGAGTTAAAAAGTGAGATAAGTCAGTATTTTTGCTATTAGATATTTGTTAATAGGAATTTGTTTATTTGTACTGTAACTGGAATTTTAAAACTTCAAGTACCTTAGCTTGATTTTATTTTTCTTCTAGGAGAGTTGGAACAAAAACTAAGTATGAATTATATGATTAGTATAGTTAAATAAAAAAAAAAAGACATTTATATTAAGATTTTTAACGTTTATTTTAGTTTATAGTTTTAGTTTAGTTTATAGTTATTTTTAGTTAGTTTTAGCTTCAGTTATCTTTTTTTTTACCTTAGACAACTTTATGCAGGAAATGAGGGAAATATGTAAAAAATTATAATTATAAATATATATATGTTAACGTTATTTATATGTAAATATTATTCTGTCGATTATTATGAGGTATATTTTTTTGCCTTTAGTGTCTGGTAGAAGCATAACTGGTAGGGCTCTGTTTTGTATTTTATATATTATGTATGGAGAAAGAATTAATTAATACGAATTTTTCTAACTGTTCCTATTTTACTAATATTTTTATTAAAATAAAACTTTTTACATTTAACCCTTTTTAATTAACTCTTTTTTTTTTTTAAATGTTTAAGCATCGTCTTCTTTCACCACTGAAACTGGTCAGGTTATGTATTATATTTATATTAAATAAAATTGCAAGTTTTTATAATTTTTAATAAATATGACTTTTTTAAGTGTTCCTGTTTTACTTATATTTTTACTAAAATTTTTAATAAAATTTTATATAATATTATATTTTATGAAATATAAAATGTTATATTTTTAATAAAATATTATATATTTTAATAAAATTTTTTACTTGTTTAACATTTTTTAATTTACTCATTTTTTTTTTAATGTTTTAAGCATCGTCTTCTGTTACCGTTGAAAATGGTGAGGTTATGCTTAATATTTTGATTAAATAAAATTCCAAATATTTATAACTTTTATTATATTCTTCTATTTGTTATTTTAGATCAATTAACATTTGAGATGTACAAAAAAAATTACTGCCAACACCCAGGGCTTCTCTCAGAGAGGTCCTTCAATAAGTGGTGTACAAATAGCGCACTATGCGTCGCTCTAATACAAAATGAGGAAATAGGCTTATAAAAAAGAAAGCATTCAATATATTAAACTGATTTTTTCACAACATCGAATTTCTATATTTAAAAGAAAAACACCCGGGTTTTTTTTTTAAAAGTTTACGGCTCATCCGGACTAATTTCTGGCTATTCCGGAAAATTACATATGCCCGGATGTTTTTATTCAAAAAATAATAGGCACCAATAATTTATAAAATTTTACTTTTTTAGAAACTTTTTTAGAAACTTTTCAAGAAACTTTTAAAACAATATCATTAAATAAAAACTTATTAAAACTACCAACAGATCTTCATCTGATCATCATCTGATTCTTTGTTCTTAAAGTTTCTCATTGTTCTAATAGATGTTTTTTGCTTACAAAAAAAGTTGTTTTTTAAAAATTCAACGCACAATAGCTTATCATTATAATATTATAGTTCATGGTATAGATCTTTCTGGATTAGTTAATTACTAGTTAAAAATTATAAAATTATTTTTTAAATTAAAAAAAAAAAATTATATAAAAAAAAAAAAAGTTAAATTATTATTTTAAACTATATTGAGATTTCTTTACCAAAAAAAGATAACAAAAATAGTCTAAGAAAAATAGTCTAAACTACTACCATTAGTATAACATTAAAAAAAAACACTCAATAGAGGTACATATCAAAAGACAAAAACACATAATTAACTGTACCCCGTGTGTTTTCTGCCAAAAAAGTTAGACGTGCATGACTAACTCATACAGCTTTGCTTTTTTTTGTTTTTGGCTTCAATAGCAATCTCAGACAAAGAAGAATATAGATTGTACAGATTGTGACATAGGTATGGTTTTTTGTAATGATTGCAAATAGATATTCAGATTTCTGATTGAAAATTTATTTCCTTTCTTGTAGTCTTAGCGTTCATATGAACGAGTCTCGAAACAACTTATTTATTCAGAATTAGGTGCTTTTTATCTGTTTTATATAAAAGTTTACACAATTTATACAAAATAACATAATTAAACTTTACCTTTATTTATACATTTTTTTATTTTATTTTAATTTCAGAAATTTTTTATAATTTTTTACTTTTTTATTTTATATTGTTTTATAATATTATTATTTTCTTTCGATACAGATTATTTTTTATATTTATATTTATCACTTAGTAATTAGTAATGACGGTTATTAATACAATTATCTTGATATCGTATGCGGTGTTCCTCAAAATTCAATCCACGGACCCTAACTTTTATTGATATTTATAAACGATTTGAATAAAGCTTCAAATCGTATAAGTATTATGTACGCAGATGATACCGAACTATTCATCTGAAGCAGTAGTCTCTTTACAACTATTAATAAAGAACTAAAACATGTACCAAACTAATAAAGTTTCAAAAAACAATGGGATTCCATACAAAGCTCGTAACCAGGGGCGGTTGTACGAGGGTGTTACATTCCCCCTAAGATGATGATTTTTAAGTTATAGTCAGTTTTTTTTACGAGTTTACGGTACATTTTGAGGACTCACCCCAACCCCTCATTTTATCTGTAGAACCGCCTCTGCTTGCAACTACCTTGAGAAAAAATTACTTAAGCCAACTTTTTGGACATTTACACGTTTATATACTATTGTATAATTATGTTACTGTATAATAAATACATAAATACTTTATATCACTTTATAAAAATGTATTTTTTAGAAAAAGAAAAATATATTTAAAGTCCTTGTTATTTTCACTTAATGGAGGCAAGTAACTTCTTTTAATAGAAGTTTTGAGAATATTTCTCTCGTCAGTAAAAAATGACTTTTTTTTATTCTTAAATTTAAGTTTTAACTCAAAACTTAAATTTATTATAAGTTTTTTTTATATGAACTACTTATAAATGATTTTCTGTTAAGCAGTTAACTCGGCTTGTTTTTCTGAACCATCTTGAGAAATTTCGTCATCGATATCCGCACCCAAAGGAGAGATTTTTCTATTTTTACCCAGACTTGACTTTTTACCGCCTCGCTTACTCCTCGTTGAATTAGGTGCTTTTGGTTTAGGTTTTTCAATAAATCTCTCTGAAAAAAAAAAGAAGTGAACAATAAAATTAAAGTAAACTTTATTTACTTTTACTTTAACTTATTATTTTATTTTTAAGATCTATATAAGTAATTCGTTATTTCATTTGATTAGTGTCGATCGGGTCGATTTTAAATGACCAAATTTAACATGAGCACGGTATGTTAACGTATGCTGCGCGAAGGATTTTCACATTGCAGTGGTTAGAATTCTGGCTCAGAACCCAAAGGTCCGAGGTTTGACGCCAGCTCTAGCCCAACAAGCGACATTGGTACGGAAGGAGGCGTGAACTTCCTGTTAAATGCTCACCCGCGGTGCTCTATGATAAGACCGTAAGGACTTCTGGGAGCACTTAAATACATACAAAAAAAAAAAAAAAATTATATAAATCGTTATAAAAATCGAGTATAATATAAATAATAGAGTAATAAAAATAATCGAGTATAATAAAAGTAATCGAGTATAATATATATAATATAAATAGATCGAGTATAATATATAATATAAATATAAATAAATGGAAAGAAAATTAATCAAGAATAAATAATTTTTTTATTTTACAAAAGTTGCAAACATATTGCATGATTGTTGCTATACTGTTACCACTGGTTTCTAAACGTCTTTGATATTACAATTAATTATTTTACAAATTAATCTATTCATATTACAATCTTCTTAAAGTAAAGAAAATTTATTTAACTCTAATTAGTAATTAGCAATATAAACTATTATGCAATAAGAACAAATTATAATTACCAAAATAAAACACTAAAATATTTACAATATATAAATGTTTATAAAATATTTACAATATATGTTTATTCAATTGCATGGCAACAGCGCAATGCAATGGCAATGTTGCGCAAGGATGGTGCCTCTACTAATGCTATTAATGTGCATTGTTAATAATACAAAACACATTGCCACATAACGAGCTCTTTTTACAACTTCAATTTAGTTGCCAGGACAGAAGCAACTGCTTAAGAGCCATAAAAAGTCCTACTCATTTCGGAGATATTGGGTCCCAAAATTTGGCCTATTTTGTAAAAATATTTGCGCAAGGAGTGCAATTGCTACTTTGTGGGGTAATTTTAGCAACATGAATATGACAGACACATTTTAATAGGACAAGACCTTGTTGTACCAATGTTGTTTTAAGATGTACCAGCTGTTTTAAGAAAGTGATTCTACAGGACAAATTATTTTGCTTTCAGTGATTATTCGTGACGAGTGCTAAAGAAACATTAATAAAAATTTTTGATTTCATAAAACTTCAAATAGAAAAAGCACTCAAGTTGCAAATAGCAAGCAGAGGATTTTTCATCCCAAAAAAGGAAAAGGTCAACAAATCCCGATTGCCACAGGAAAAAAGTAGAACATTTTTTGAGTTTATTTTTTGTTAAGGTTTGCTGCAGGAAGTGTAAATAAAATAACATTCTTAAGGAAAAGGTTTGGCTTGTCTTGATGGTGTCACAGTAGCTGCCATGGATAGGTTTTAAACCTTGATTGCTGTTTCTGAAAAGTGGAAGTATAAAAATAATACTAAGTTCCTTGAAAAAGGTGAAAGGTATCTGAGGCCATCATCCTTCCAAATGTAGTGAAAATTCTACTTTGCAGAGCCACTTTACTTCTTTTGCCCTTTCAGATCCAGACATAAATCAACCTTAAATCATAGCTGCTGACGAAGGTCAATGCACTGACTGTGCTAACCTCATTTTAGCAATCAACCAGGTTGATTACTAAAATAAGGATAGCACAGTCCTGATAAATGGTCAATAAGGAAAAAAATTCTTTTTCAATGCTGTCTATAGATGACAGCAAGGCCTTGTTGATGTACTCTGTCTTGGTGATGTTGTTTTGACCAAAGTTAAAAATGATTACCATTGTTTAAAAAACCCGTACGCTAAGTCAGATAACGCATCATCTTATGATGGCAACTTCTAATTAGAAGCCATTTACAAAATTTGCAAAGCAAAGCGATTCTTTCTTAAAAGATATGGTTACAATAAGCCGTCACGTCGTCAATGCGACATAAAGTCAGCAGGAGCGAAATAAGTCATAAGAAGTTTTGTCAATGCTGGAAACAAATTGTTGACTGCAGAAGATATTTATGAGGCTCTTCATAATAGCAAAGGAACTCAAAATGTTGATGTCGCTGAAGGTCCAATGGACTCCAAAGCTTTTACTTTATCAATACCAAATCTGATTCCCACATAAACAGTTATAATTCTTTTCGACTTTTCTCCCAAAAAAAACGTGTTGATAGTTAATGCTTTTAAGTTTTGTACAAAAAATGGTTGAGCTGAATAATTTTATGATACTGAATTATTAGCAGAACACATGCTTTCTGAGCTTTCCCTACGATTAAAAAGGGGTTGAAAACTTTATAAACATCACTGGATAGACATTACCAAAAAGAAAAGTACTTAAATATTCTTTAAAGCAAAAAACGGTGCTAACGCAGATGTTTATGGCTGAAGAAGAACGTGGAAGGAAAATGAGTCTGGAGCAAGTTCAACAGCGTCTGAGGACAATATTAAAGCCAAGTGAATATATGACAACTCAACAAATTCTATTATTATACATTTTTGTTTACTGAGATCTATTGCATTGAAAACCAAAATTATTGGTTTATTAACAATATTAATTAATTTCAAGGAATATTTTGGAAGCAGCGATGAATAGACGTTACATTGTCTAGGCTTTTAATCATCCGAGCACATGGATTTTTTTTTCAGATATTAGAATGCATGTTTAAGGAAATTAAATAATTTATACTGCTTACGGCAAACCTAAGGCCACGGTTGTTATGGGTAATTTATCAAGATTTTTGGCAAGTTATTTTCTCCCAGGTCCTTGCATGCACATAAATTTTGTTCCATATAATCAATGTATGCCTTAGTGTCTTTCAAAAACACCTAAGAAAACTATGTGCAAGTAACGGCCTTAGGCAATATTAGAGCTCAAAGTTAGGGTAAAATTTCAATTTTAGTGGTTTCGGACCATGATTTCTAGACAACTAAAAATGTTACCATGTTGAATTTTTACTTTTACTATAGAAATCTACCCAGATTAGCAAAAAAAATTAAAAAGAAACGTGTCTATTATATTCATGTAGCTAAAATTATTCCACAAAATAGCAATTGCACTCCTTATGCAAATATTTTCACAAAATGGGCCAAATTTTGGGACCCAATATCTCTGAAATAAATAGGACTTTTTGAAAAAAAAATTACCAGTGGACTATTTTTATAGTTTTCTACAAAATATCTGAAAATGAAGACATCACTTCCAGACTTTGCTTATATTTCTCAGACAATGGCTCTTTTTCAGTATTGATGTTTAATTATGATTTTCATTATTAATAATAATGACTTTCATTATTAATGGCTATTACATTTTGATTTGCAAAGAAAAACTAATTAAAAACTAGTCTGTGCAGAGTTTCTCCTCAGCACAGACAAAAAAAAACTAATTTCTTCTTCAGACTACATAGTCACCAAGATTCAGGCAGGTGTGGTAGCTTTTATTTTATTTTACATTGGTTATAATTAAAGCCTTAAAACTTTCACATACTAAAAATCAAAATAAATAATAAATAATATAAAGGAGTAAATAAAGGAGTAAATAAAGGAGTAAATATAAAACGAGTGAAGTCGCCTTAATATTACAATATTTGCAATTGTCATCTTAGAGTAGGAACAGGAAACTTTTAAAGTTTTCTTTTCTGTTTCTTCTTCACACCCTATTAAACCTACTTCATAGTTCTATCCTAAAGCTAACAAAGAAATCTTTCCTTATCTTTTAACATTTAATTGTACATAAGTGTTCTCCAGGCTGATAAGGTTCTGGAAAAGACATTGATCCCTACAACTATTGTTTAATAAGTCTTCTCTTTATTGTTAGCAATGCCTTAAGTTTTCAATTGACAAGCATCAAAAACTTGAGTCAAACATCTTGAGTCAAACAGCTCACTCTCTAACAACCAATAATGACAGACTGTATAGTATTGATTTAATCCAAGAACTTGTTTTCAAATCTAACACATACACAACTAAGTCATTCAAACCAAAAAGGCTAAAAATAAGTCTATTTCTAGCAATCTTTATAAAAAATATTTTACATTAAATTTTTTTATTATAAATTTATATAAACGATTAAAACCCATTTTACTAAACAAATTAAAGAAAATGGGTTTATTGTAAACAAAATTTATTGTAAACAACCTCATGAAGTCATCTTACTTTTATTTAAATAAGTAAAAAAATTTACAAAGTTTATAAAACAAAGTTTTATAAAACGCATAATATAAAAAGGTTTTACAATAATAAAACTTTGACATAGTCAAGTTGCCAAAAATGCAAACAAATTTTTTAATTTAATAATACTCAGAATATCTTTTATTATTTTTAAGACTAAAAATTGTTATGGTTTCAAAATATTTTACCTGCTTCAACATTCTTGTAGTCATAAATATCTCCATTTATAGAAACATCTGTGACCTTGGCTTTCTTTAAAGAAGGTTCATTCGTCTCAGGTAAGTCTGAAATTGAACTCCTTTTCATTGATGTCAACTGCTCACCTCCTAATAATAGGCATATATGCTGCATATAAAATTACTAAGGTGTAAAACACATCACAAGTTAAATAATGAAAATTTTATATTGGTCATAAAAATAAAACCTGGCAACAAATCACTTTCAGGTTCATCAATATCTGGTGCAACAGGTAAATAAAGTAAACTGTCTTCATCATCATCGTCATCACTGCTGTAATATACAGGTTTGTCAATTGATATGACATCAATCTAAAAATGCAAATTCTAATTAATGTTTGCTTAATGTGCTTAAGGTCTTTTAGTTTTTAGCGCAAGCAATAAATAAAAGATTGTATGTTTTTAACATAAAATTTTCGGCAAAAACAAAAAAATATATTTTTAATAATTTATTTTTTAAAATTGCCACTATACTCCTTTTAACCCTTTAGATGAAAAAACCTGAGAAACTTTGTAGAGAAAAAAGTTAAGCATTGTACTTCTAGAAATATGGTGGATTAAATACCTAGATATTTCCAGAGAAATTTGTTTTGTTCATAAAAAGTTAACATAGGGATATTACCACATAGGCATTTCCCTCACTTACAAAACAAGGACACAATTTCTACATTTCACCCCATTATTTATGTAGGAAAAAAAAAAATACTAAAAAAAAGTTAGTTTCCTTTTATTTAATTGATTTCTATTATTATGTTAATTTTATAATTTAATAATTTTTTTGTTTTACTATAAGTGATGTAAATTTGAATGCAATGAAAAAAAAGTTGGCAAAAATATAAATTAATACATATTAATATATAGTAAAAAACATATAGTAATATATCGAAACAATAAAAACAAAACCAAATGTTTTTACTAAATTTATTTAAAATTTTTTTTTTTCTTAATACTAAAAGTATTAAAAAAAAAAAGAACAAACTTATCAAAAGTATTTTTTTAAATTGATTGTATTAAGAAAAAAAAAACTTTTATGTAACATATAACTGTTACATACTTAAAGCTTTGCTTTGTATAATTTATCATTTTTTATAAAAAATATTTTAAAAAAAAAAAGCAATGTCAATGAAAAAAACATTTTTCTACAACCAAATAAAAGGTTATCGAAGCACCAGCCTCATGCATTTGTTATGGTTTTTGATTATTAATCAACTCACAGAGAATAAATCAAATAATTAACTTTTTAACTTCACTAACTTCAGCACATTAATAAATATTCTAAACACAGTAACATTTACTTGAACAAACCTCAACTTCTTCATGTTGTTCATTATTCAAGTTATTTAATTCTTCCTTATCTTCATCTGTGAGATCAAATTCACTTTCTCTTTCCTCGTATTCAATATTCTCATCAAGTTCTTTGAAATCAGGAGCAAATGCAGACCAATTTTCCTAAAAAAAATAAAATAAGAAATAAACAAGTATTTTTTAATAAAGTAAAATCAATAAAAGTTATTTACACAGAAATTTAAAAATTATTTATATACAATTTTCATTTTAAAATTCATAAATTTTAATAAGAAAAATTATTATCTTGAAAAAAAATTAACTTTTTAAAAGAAATAAAAAAATTTACAGGAAAACTAAATTTAACTTACTACATGAGTTTGTGACCATATTGAAACAAGTCCATTTGCAACAGAACATATTATTGGTCTGATTGGATGCCACTAAAAATTGAAAATAAATATATTTAAATATTTAAATATATTATTTTTTAACTATAATAAATATATTATTTTTTAAATATTTAAATATATTATGAACTGAAATAACTAAAACAGCTGTTAACAACATCAAGATTTACTATATATAAAGTTAATGAACAAATTAAAATTTATTTTGACAAAAAATTCAACATTTATTTTAGTTGAAATAAAATAAGATAATTTTCAATTATATAAAGAAATTGAAGATGTATAAAAAAAAGAGCTTTAACAGAAATTGATCTTGCAACCAACATTTTAATTCCAAAATATTGATAAAAGATAATCCAAAAATAGGCAAAAAAAAATTAAGATATAAAGAACCATACTCCCTTTCAGTTAAATTAACCTTATTTAAACCCATTAACAATCTATTGTTTTTTTATTATTATCAATAAATATAATTAAAATTTTTATTAAATAAAAAAAAAAAAATTATTAAATTAAAAAAAATTTTATTAAATAAAAAAATTTATTATTAATTTTAAAAAATAAATAAAATAAATTTTTGTTAAAGCTGCGTAACAACCAACTTGTGAATAATTATTTAGAAACATTAAAGATTAAACACCATCAGTCCTAACAAAAACATTGTTAGGACTGATGGTGTTACCATAAGTTGTTGATGGTTTGCGTCAAATCATTTAAAATTATTTAATTATTCAAATCATTTGGCAACTTTATGCAAATAATAAAAGACATTTACCACAACATTTACAAGCAACTCTCCTTTTGTTCCATGTAATATTTTCACTAAACTGCCAATACTTCTTTCCCATATATACAAAGCATGTTGTCTTGATGATCCTGTGAAACATGTTAAAATCAAATATTACTAAAATATTTATTGTACATTACTTTTATATTTATTCTTGTTTGCAGTCTATTTTGATTACCTATTTTTAAATATACATTCACCTTGTGGCTTATCTTTTATCACTAAAGTCACCATCAGCTTTCTTAATATTTTTAAACAAAACTTGAGTTATTATAATATAAACCAAAAATATATTTTACTTGTTGTCACACTAGAAGCTCAACACAATATATTTCGAGAAAAAAATTTAAAAATCTCAAAGGTATAAATACACACCACATACACACACATACACACAGACACACAAAGTCATAATCTTAAACAGAGATTAAAACTATTGATTATAGGGTGAGAAAAGATTTATTGAACATTGCTGATGCAGATGATATAAATAGCATGTAGAGAGGTATCAGCTTAAGGTGAAAAAAAATGAGATAAGTAAGAAAATATGAAGAGAGTGCACACCATAATGATGTAAAAAAACTTCAATTTAAGAAAGTAAATGCTCTAGAATTTGTACTAAAGAAACAGCATAAAAGATACAACATTATTATTTATTTGTTATTATGCATATTATTATGCATGTTATTATGTATGTTATTATACATCTTTATACATTATGCATATAGTAATTATTTTTGTTTTGATTTCTGTGACACTAATATTGTAATGGTTCAACAAAATGAGGTCATGTGCCTTTTTTTGTGTTCAAACTGATGCTGCAAGCATTGACCAATTGAAGATCATATTTGTTGTGGTTGTAAACTTTAGCAGCTCAGCTTCATATAAAATGTGAATAATTTAAAAAATGGATTGAAAGTAAGGAATTGTTTCAAATGTTCCAGACCTAATTATTCTTTGCTTTTATGCATAATGTTTTGTTTGTAAAATTTCTACATGGTTTGGTTTTAAATTTTTATAATAATGTTGTATCATTATTATAAAACAACAAGGTTAAATCAATCATTTGCAAACAAGACAATATCTAACCTGTCGATTAGACAATATCTTACCTGCTACAATAAACTCTCCATCGCCAGAGAAAGCACATTTTTTCCACAATGTTCTGAAACAAGATTTCAAGTTTGATTTATACCATAGTTCAATTTAAAAATAGTAATTGCTTACAGATGACAAACTTAAATATACTTTATAATTTAAATATATTTATGTTTTGTTTTGTAAGTTATTTTTATTTTTAATTTTTAATTGTATTTTAGTTAAAAAATTTTAAATTTAAAATATTTGTAAGATTTTTTATTTAAAGGAAATTTAACAAATATGTTTGAAAACTATATTTCTAAATTTTAAAAAAAAATGCACATGAGATCAAACTAAGGTTTCAAATTAAAAAGAAGTGTAACAAACTACCTGTTAACAAAAAAATACCTGTTAACAAGATCTTGAAGTTTTTGTGTAGGCTCAGGTTCCTGTCCATCTTTACAGGCAATGACAGCATCTCGATCAAATACTCGGATTACACGATCTTGCGAGTTTACCAAAAACGAGCTAAACAACATGTAAACATTTCATCAATATGATGATCAGATCAGTGCATATTACTTTCTATTTATCAAAGTGCATATCACTTTCTATGTTGATTAGGATATAACAATATTGCCAATATGTTTTAAGAAATGGCAGGTAAAAACCAATATCTGTTTTTTTAAGACTACTCCAAGTATCAACCTTAGATTATCAGAAAAAAGATGAAAAAAATGTTAAAAAAAAAAAAAAATTTTCGACAAAATACTGTTATTATTTTTTTGTTACAGCTCATAACTTTTTTGACAGGTATATTAAGGACTCGAAGTATACTCTCGAGTCCTTAATACGAAAGGGGGTTTAAATAAAAAGAGAAGGGATGTCTGAATAAGCTTGGGGTAGGTGGAAAAAATTTTTCAAAAATTAAAAAATATCCCCAGTTGTATTAGGGACTCAAGACTACACTCAATAAAATTTTTTCTTAATATATTGGACCATAAAAAAATGTTAGTTTCTACTGACTCTGACAGGTCTAATTTTTTAGGTCCAAGTAGCATGAGCTATATATATATATATATATATATATAAATATATATATATATATATATATATATATATATATATATATATATATATATATATATATATATATATATATATATATATATATATATATATATATATATATATATATATATATATATATATATATATATATATATATTAGTGACTTACTGATTAATCGGCATCAGCATTAGCTTAATCAGACACTTTTTGTACAATCGATGGAATTTTAATATTTTTATTGTGCATTATTATAATAACTCAATAATCAAAGAAAATAGAAACACATTCACATTCACAAAGTAAGTATAATGTAATATACATAAAAAAAAAAAAAAAAATTATCAAAATAAAACAGGGATAAAATATAACAGAGATAAAATATAACAGGGATACAAAAAGGAAGTATTATCTCAATACAATTAAACATTTAAATATCACAAAAATGTCTTAACATGAGTTGATAATTACCAAAGAAGTATAAAATTTTATTTAACTTTATATATTTTGAGTACACAAATATTATAAGATTGTGATGAAAATAATTTTTTATAAATATGTAACTTAATAATTTAACTTAATAATTTGTAACATATTTGAACTTGAAAATTTTTAACTTAATTATATTAATTACTAAATTAATATAATTAAGTTAAAAATTTTTAAAAATTAGTACTTACTTTCCTCGTCTTGCAAATTCAATTGATTTTATTGCAGTATTTGCATTTGTAGCTGTGCTTATTCTATATGAAGTTTTGATCTAAAAAAAAACATATTTAAGGTGTAACATAATAAAATCTAACAATGCTCATTATTTTGTTGCTATGGATACAATGTAACCTAATAATTACCAAAAAGTTAACAAAACAGCAAAAAAAAAAGGTTTAAGATGAGATAAGGTACCAATTCTTCTAGATTCAGAGATATAAGTGTTATTAATTCGAATTCGGAAATGTAAGCGTTATATATTAAAATAAAACCATGAAAATATTAATATTATTTTGATGTTTTTATTTTAATAAATAAGGCTAGTATCTCTGAATCCGAATTAATAACGCTTATATCTCTGAATCTAGAAATATAGAATTGGTACCTTATATCTCATTTTGCGCCTCAAACTTTTTTTGCCTATCTGATGCTGACCTCTAAAAGATTGAGGTCTTTTAGAGATCAACATCAGATAGGTCCTTTTTTTTAACTCTAAGGGTTGATATATATATTTATATATAATTATATATATATATATATATATATATATATATATATATATATATATATATATATATATATATATATATATATATATATATAGAAAATAAATAATTAATCAGCCACACTACTTCAGCAAACCAACAAGCCTAAAAGTTTATTGAACTAGCTTGTCTGATTAGTTTTATTGATTAGTACGAAAATCAAACAAACCTGTAGTGTATTTGTTTCAATAACAGTTATCTATAAATGAAAAACAAAATATATTCAAAATCCATTAAAAAAATTCATTTTCAATATCAGTTTGACATATACTTTGTACAAAGCAATTCTATGTATGTCAAAAAAAAAAGTACAACATAAAAAAAAAATTCATACAAGCTATGATGTATGTTATACTCTTTATTGTTATATATTTTTCTTCATTTCTTTAGTTCTGCATTTTTGAAGATACAAGAAAAGAATAAAAAAAGAATTTAAAAACCTCTCAAATAAACAACAGAGCCGGAGTCTAAGTACCAGAATAGTAATAGAGTTAAATTAAAATTTTTTGATGATTTAACAAACTCTTAAATAAAAATAAAAGAGTCTGTAAAATCATATAAAGTTGAATCATTTTAAAACAGACGTTACTCAGAGTCTACGTACTCAGAGTTTAGGTAGCAAAGAGTTTGTGTACTCAGAGTCTAGGTAGCAGAGTTTGTGTACTTAGAGTCTAGGAAGCAGAGTCTAGGTACTCAGAATCTAGGTGGCACAGGACTCAAATTAAGTGATCGCGAATTTCAATATTCTGAAATATTTCTGGTCATTAAATCCTTAGTTTATTAAAAACTTATTAATAAAACAGTAAATTTATCATATATCAAAAATAAAATGGTCAAAAAAAATGGTCAATTTATTGTATTGCAAAAATTAATGAAAAAACAAAACAATAAATTTACTACTGCAAAAATTATAACCATCAAAACTTACATATTTTTAATATTTTTTAAACACTATGTAATTTAGGAAATATAAATTAAAAAGTTGTAATACAAAATTATTATTACTAAAAGTCCGAAAAATTTGTGCAGTAATTTAAAAATCAACCAATAAAAAACTTTTTGCGCATTGTATGAAACATTAACATTGATTTTTGTTTAGGGGTATGTTTTTAAATAGAAATTAATTATTTAATAATAATAAAAATAAAATATTTTAAAATTAGTTTTTTATTTTGTTTTAAAATAACTATAAAAATTTTTAATTAGTTTTTATATATTTTTAAACTCCTCTGTCTTTTAAGTTTTTATGCGTATCTGCGAAAGAGTTACAACCGGAAGCATTTTTAGATATCGTAATTGACGATCACTTAAGCCCTGTAGCAGAGTATGGGTACTCAGAGTCTAGGTACTCAGAGACTAGGTAGCAGAGTCTAGGTACTCAAAGTCTAGGTAATAATAGCAGTAATATAATAGTAGTAAAATCTTTTCAAGAATTTTACAGACTCTCTAAATAAAATCATTTAAAGACTCTCTCAAATAAAATCATTTTACAGACTCTCTCAAATAAAATCATTTTACAGACTCTCAAATAAAATCATTTTACAGACTCTCTCAAATAAAATCATTTAAAAGTTTAAAATAATAAGTTTTGATCAACACTAATCCAATGATTTTTAAATCAGTAATTTTTGTACCATTTACTAAAATTATTGAAGTAAAAAGAGAAAAATAAAAAGACCATTTAAAGAATTAGTATAGATATAGTAGAGATAGAAGGTGTATGAAAAGAAAAAACTGCTGGTGCTGTACAAACTTACCATGACCCATATTATACTTGATTATCATGGTCATATTTTAAAAACAGTAGAAATTTTTTACTAAAAAAACAGAAAAAAACCTTTTAAGAAGTATCCAGCAATTTTTAAAATATAAAAATGCATTTTGTGTAACTAAGAATACTTGCATAATATTAAACATTTTTAAATCATGCAAAAAATGTTTAATATTCTAATTTTTAAAATTAGTATAAAAACAGCATATGGATGTTACAATTTAGCGGTTGCCAAAGTTTTGAGTTCAAATTTTCCAAAGAAAACTTGTTATCTTTTTAAGTTTTATTTTAAAGTAGTTTTTTTAACTATTAACTGTTATTGTTTTTCACAAAGTTTCATAGAAAATTAATCATAAACTGACTGTTATAGCCGTCTCAGTGGAACAGAACCTAAAAAAAGATGTACTTTTGTACCTTCAAAAGACGCTAGAAAGATATCTTTTTTTTATGTACCATGCTCATAGGGGTAGTCACAGCAGAGTGTGCAAACATCGACTGATTTAAATTTGGATAGAGGCAGTAAAGTGTACATACATTGAATGAGGGTTTAGGATTTATTGAGTTTTTTTATAATTAAAGAAAAGTATTTCATTACTTATTCAAGTTTATAAATTAGAATAATTTATATGAATTAAACTAGGTTTTTAGGTGAAATAGTACAAATAATTAATAATAAATTTGTGAGTAAAATTAAGAAAAAATTGTACAAATAATGCTTAATCAAACTAAATAGAGCGTAGAGTGATGAACAATATCTTTATTGTTTTAATGATTCGTTAATAAAAATATTTTTAACTTGTATTTCCAGAAAACTATTTAGATATCCGAAAATAATAAAGTTTTAAAGAAATATCAGGAACAGTTACAGACAGCTATAGAAAGCAATTTACAAAAACCATTAACTATCTTTAATAATTCGAAAACAACACATAACATTCTTAATTTCTTATGTTTACTTTTAATTTTCAAAAATAATAATCACTATTTTAAAACTTATTTAAATACCTTTCCTTTCGCATTCCCAGTAAATATGTAATCTCCTCTTTTATCAAATGAAGCTTCAATATTTTGCTCGCACTAAAACAATTTTACTTATTTAGAATAGAATCGATACAATAGTATAGCAGATTGATATACTTGAGGCATTGAATAAAGAATAATTCATAAAAATGATATTAAAAATTAAAAAATATATATAATAAATCTTTTTTGGGGTATTAAACTCTTTTATAGAAACATATAGTTTATCTATAAGTTGTAATTACAGCAATTATGTCCCATGTCAACCATGGTTCCTTATGTTTAAACCTTCAAGCTTTGTATCAGTTAAAAAAAAAAAGAATATTTATATATTTATACATTCTTGGGGTAGGCGAGGTTTCTAAGCCCTGGTCAACTAATCAAAAAAAAAAAAAAAATCTTGGGTAAGAGTAGAAAAACTCATAAATTTTGGATGGTAACTATCCTAGCGGTGGTAGAATCACAATGAAAATAATAAGTCCAAATCTGCTAGAAAAAGCACCTGGTTGTTAAAAATTGCTTGAACTATTCTACTATCTCATTTAATAGAAAAAAAGCATTACAGCAACCTGTGGAGCCAGAAATGTTAAACTCAAAAAAAAGGCTCATCTCCTAAAGTGCTTTTGTATAAAATATATATATATATATATAAATATTATAATTAATTTTTGATTTTATTTTAGCCTTTGCGTAAAATAAAAACTTTAAAAAAGGTTAATGATTAAAAGTTATTCGAAGAGTAAAGATTTTTTTACTTGCATAAAAATTGTTAAAACATCAAAACAGCCATTGTCAAATTGTAAAGAAAAAAAAAAAAAAGCATTGTCAGTTACAGCGTGAAATTTCAACTCTTATTTTAAAAAAATAAAATTTTAAAAAACGTTAAATTAAAAAATATTAAATTGAAACTATTTATTATTAAAAAAAAAATCTACTATGAATAATTCTAAATAATAAGGAAAGATACTACAACTTCACTAGACTAACGTTAAATCAAAATATTAAGCAAACATCGACAATTGAAAGAAAAGTGGGCAAACTCACCGTAACTAATAATATAAGAGGTTGTTTTTACCGAATCGATTACTAGTATCGTTTGGACTATACTATAACTGAATAACATGACAAAGATTTTGATTGCATAACTTGGTTTCATAAAACTGTAAAAATTATATTTTAAAAATTTGATTGGACATTGTCCGACCCAAACAAGTTTTAAACGGACATTTTGTCTAGGACTTTATAAAAAAACACGCAAACACACATAGGTTTTATTTGTCTAACCGTAATAGTAAAAACAAGAGCAGCAGCTTACCTCTTCTCCGACAGGGAGAATATGTTGCTTTCCATCAACTTCAATTAACACAGGTGGATGTTTTATTGGGCAAACCAAGAATTTATTGCTAAATAAATTTCAAAAAAAAAATTCAGTTAATTTTTATGTCATAACCATTTAAATGCTTTTCTTAAAAGATTTGTTTCTTTCCTTGAAAAACTCTAAGATCTCATATCCAAAATCCTAAAATCTCAAATTGTCAAAATTTATATAGTTTTAACACAAATTTAAAAAATATATATTATAAAAAAACGTTTATAAACAGAGTAGTTGCAATAAAAAATTATATAATATTAGCAAATATAAAAGAATCTGATTTATAACTTTTTATTATCGAGCTTTCACTATAAGAATCAAAATTTATTCTTTCATTCATTCATTATTATTATTGAAATTGATCTTCTAAATGAAAAAATGAATGATTAATAAAACAATTATTAAATGAAACAACAATGAACAAGACTAAGCGAGCAAATAAAGAAAAAAACAAACAGTAAACAGCAAAGAACTTAGATTAACAAAATTAACAGCAAAGAAATTAGGTCTTTGTATACATAAAAAGTCCTTAAATAATAAATGTTTATAACACTGCTCAATTAGTAGAAAGCAACTTTCCATCAAAATTTGTACAAAGCAAATTTCCATTAAAATTTGTAGAAAACAACTTTTAATTTGTAGAAAGAAACTTTTAATTATGATTTGAAGAAACTTTTTAATTAAAATGTTAATAAACTTTTTACTTCTTGATATTGCCTTTCATGGTTTTGAGGTATTTGCTCTTACTGAATTTTTATTAAAATCCTTGAAGTTTTTTCAATTCGAGTTGAACTTTGACAACTAATAATCAATGGATCCAATCTCTGAACTGGTCTTTCTACAACTTGGTCATTTCTGTTTATAAATTGGCACCGCAGATTATATTATATCTCCATGTATAAGTTTTATTACCATATCGATTTTACACTCTCCTTATAATTTCTAATTTTTTTTTCTCCATTGAGTATGAAAATCTCTGCCACTGCTCTGTCTTTTAGATTAAAGTCTTTGAGTTGGTAATATTCTTGTAATGATCATAAGTACTTGTTGTCCCATCTAACATTACGTTTCTATAGTAAGTTTTTGCATTTATGGCATTGCATTTTTTATTTTTTTTTTGACTTCCCATGACTTTGAAAGCCACTACAGCCAGGTAGGAGATACAAGTTAAGCATGGTACTCCAGGGACATGGTGGGGATTAAATGTGGAACATTTCACTTATGAGGCAAGTACTCTGCCACAAAATTTTTAAGACAAAAAATATTGAACTTTGGCTAGAATCTTTTTGTTTTGTTTACATTAATTATTTTTATTAATGACGCATTTATTTGAAATTCTATAAAAAATGGCGTCTTTAAAGTGTTTTATATTTAAAGTGCATAGATCATCCAGGTCATACTTTAAAAATCCGGAAAATCAGTAGCATAAAATATCCGGAAAATATTTTCCCCGATATTTTTTTTAATTTTGATTTTAGCTGAGCTGTATTGATTTTTTTTTTAACTTTTTTTAATTTTTGTATGAGTAATGAAAAAGCTTAAAAAACAAATATATTACAAAAATATATTCCTAAACTTTTATGTATAGAAAACATTTTTGATATTCGGAAAAACTAAAAGTTGAGAAAAATATCTGGAATTCCGGAAATATCCGGAAAAAGATAATCCCTGAAAGTGGTTTTAAACTCTTTTCAAATTTTTTTAAATAAGATAGTTATAAGTTAACTTTTTCTATTTTTGAATTATTTTCTAAATAAACTAAATGCAATTTTAACTTAAAGCAACTTTGTAAAAATTGCTGTGACCTAGAATAAATAAAAAAGGAATGGATGAAAAATGGATAAATAGTGGATAATAAATGGATAAAGAATAAATAATGAATGGATAAAAAATGGATAACAAATGGATAACAAATGGATAAAGAATGGATAAAAAATGGATAATAAATGGATAAATAATGGATAATAAATGGATAAATAATGGATAATAAATGGATAAATAATGAATAATAAATATATAAATGGATAAATAATGGATAATAAATGGATAAAGAATGGATAAAAAATGGATAAAGAATTGATAATAAATGGATAAAGAATGGATGACTACTTTAACAACTGTTGAATTAAAACAATGAATAAGTTTTTAAAACAAAATTATTTTAAAAAAAATATTTTAAATAACTATTTAAATAATAACTAAGTATTGCAGAATTTTAACAAAATAACCATTAAAACAATTTATAATTAAGATTTTAATGTTTATAATGTTAAACATAAGGTTAAACTATGAACTTCATATTAATGCCGTAGTGGTGTAGTGGTAGAGCGGATAAATGAGTGGTTCTGCGTTCGATCCCCAACACGTCCTTGGTAGTACCGCGCTCAACTTGTTTCTTCGCGCAGCGGTCTTGTTCGTCAAGGTTCATGTTTCGGAGTTATAGAGTTGAGAGAGGGTTATAAGTGCAAATAAGTAGCCTCCTCATCTGTATTGGCTTTCTCGGCCTTGAGGAGGTGAATTAAAAAAAAAAAATTTTGTCTTCCAATACAAAATTTGTAAATTTGTAAACTGTAATAGTAGTTGTAAACCCTATTAGTCCAACTCTAATAATTTTCAATGCTTGCAACATTGTTGGAAGCGAATTAAAAAAAAAAATCGAGAGTGTTTAATAAGCACAATTTATATCACAAAAAATGGAGGAAGACGAAAAATGGAGGAAGACTCTATATAGTGACTATTCTATTAAGAATTCTTTCTTAATGAACAACATTCTTTTATTAATTTATGAATAGAATATCTTTTGTATGCAGATTACAAGCTTGGACAGGAATGGCATGCAGCCTATTGCTGACCACGCAAATGATATTTTTTGTTGACAACTTGACAACTCAACCCTGACTGTTAAGATTTTGATTAATCTAAACATTTCAGAAATTTGCAGAAAAAAGAAACACTAAGCTCAACTTAAACTAGAAAAAAAATTTTGAAAAAAAAGCGATTCCTTATGAAAAAAAAAAAGAATAAATCAGGCTTTCACAGGAAGCCATGCGATTTCACGTCTTTATATGACCATGCAAAAAATATGTTTTAAGGATTTGACCACGGCATGTTTTCAAAATTTAAAAACGCGCTACAAAAACTTACCTAAACTTATCTGAAAAAAAAATTGTAAAAAAAAAAAATCTTAATGAAAGAGAAAATAAAAACATACTTATACTCAAACTCAAAGCAAAAACACAAAAAACAAGTATATATATATAACGCAACTAAAACAAAACTCATCAAACTAAAATGCTTAGTCTATTTAATTTACGCATTAAAAAACCAGTTCAATTTTTGTTTCAACAGTTGTATATATTTTTTATTTATTTAATATGTTCAAAAGATGAACATTTCTCATAAAAAATACATAGTTATATAAATAAAATAAAAAAACATTTTATTAATACTTTTTTTAAAATTAATTAGAAGTGTTTTTTTTACTTTATTAAAAGCGTTTTAATAATATAAAAGCATTTAAGATCAAACTTATTAAATTGTAACAGCTTTCTAAAACTTTTTTTTTAACAAAATTTTGTTTATCTTTTTAAATGCATCAACTTTATTCATTCTTATATTTAAATTCGTTAAATAGACTTTCGTAGTCGTAGAATGTAATCGTTTATAAAAACAAAACATTTTTTTTTTAAATAATGTTAATTTTAGAAATAAACACTTAAACAATTTATATGTTTTAAATTAAAAAAATATATACAACTGTCAATTATATTTAAAAAGGGTCGTTCCGTGCTAAATGGTCTAATATTTTAGGATTCCAATTTTTTCAATTCCAACCCACTAAGTTTCATCAAAATCTGAGGGGGTCCAATATGGACCCCCTCAGATTTTGATGAAACTTAGTGGGTTGGTTTATATCAATGAGAAAAGCAATTCCTGAAAATTTTAGCTTCAAATCTTATGTGGTTCATGAGATATGGCCATTTGAAATTTCTGATTTTTCTAAAAATAAAAACTTCAGTAGCAAAAACATGTTTTGTTCATACTTTGAAGCTCTGTATTTTAAAAACTAAATTTCAGAAAACCTTCTAGTTTTTTTTATCATATACAATGCTAGGCTTACTTTGTTAAAACTTTGACATTAAATTTTTAAATGTCACATTTTATCCATAATGGCTGCCTAAAAAACCGAAAAAATTATTTGCAGATATAGAAAGTTGATTTTTGATGGGTCAATATACAAAACTAGCAATTTAAGAAGTAAAAATACATATCTTTTTAGTTTCTATATATGGTAGGCTTCCTAATTTTCAGAAATTTACTGATATGATACAATTCAGTAAGAAATTATGGACCCCTAAAAATGGCTCCGGCTAGAACTTACATATTTGTGCCTTCCCTTAAATCCACTGGTAACCTATGATCAACACTGATTTTCATGATATACCTTTTTTCTACTCATTTAGTAGACTTTATTAAAGTGATTTCAGAAAAAAAAATAGTGGGTACTCATGGGGAAGTTACAAAGTCAGAACAATGAAGTCGGCACAAAATGCATTAAAAACGTAAAAAATAGAGATATTGATGTACTTTAGTATTCATTATTTACTGCAATGCAAAAAGATGTATATATATATGAAAGTATATCAAAATCATTGCTACAAATTAGCTTTAAACAGAATGTCGTAAAATATTGCACTTAAGAAAACAAGAACATGAAAGCGATTCATATAAAAGTCAAGATAACGATTTTAACGGGATTCATATTTCAAAAGAAAACTTTAATTTAAGCATTAACACCTTTGGTTGTTCACCTCTAAAACTAGTAGCTTATAAAGACAGAGTCAGCTATGCAAAAAGAAAGATTAACAAGATCCATACTGCAACCAAAAAGAAAATAGCAACTGTTTTAGATGTTTCTCCGGATTTAATAAATGATGAACCAAAAACAAAAGAACTTTGTTGCAAAAGTAAACAAGATTTGGACTCACTAACGGAATTAATTAAAGCAAAGTTTGATATTTCTTCAAAACCAGAAAAACTTAAATTGCTAATTTTGGTTTCTGAGAGTTGGAACATTAACTATACAGAAAACTATTTTTCTGCTTCCCAAAGAATGATAAAAACTGCAAGGCATTTGAAACAAATGCATGGCATAATGGCGGAGCTGTCTAAAAAAGTAGGAAGATCTATTAGTGAGAAAGTAAAAAATCTAGTCCATGAATTTTACCAATCAGATGAATACTCTAGAATGTGTCCAGGAAAAAAACAGTATGTCTCAATCCAAGTTGATGGTAAAAGACAACATTTTCAAAAAAGACTGCTATTACTTAATATAAAATAACTTTATTTAGAGTTTGTTAAAATTTCTTTAGATGTCAAGATTGGATTTTCTAAGTTTTGTGAACTTAGACCAAAGTGGTGTATTCCTGTTGGAGGTGCTTCAGGTCTCCACTCAGTATGCGTTTGTGAGTACCACCAGAATGCCAAACTTTTAGCATTAAAAATACCAAATATTTCAGACTATAAAAATCTCTTGACATTAGTTGTATGTGACTTAACAAATTGAGACTGCATGCTGCATTGTTGTGATAACTGCCCAGATAATGACACACTTAAAGAGTATCTTACTACTTTGTTTGATAAACATAGCATTGAAGAAATCAGCTTTAATCAGTGGCAAAAAGCTAACAAAAAACATGATATAGTTCCGGTAACTCTTCCAGTGGACGATTCTATTGAAAAAGCTTGTCAACAAATAGACCAATTAAGAGACCATCACTATATAGCCAAAAATCAAGCAGCATATTTGCAGCATCTAAAAATCACATTAGCAAGTAATCATATTTTAAAATTATTAGACTTTGCTGAGAATTACAGTTTTTTAATTCAAGATGCAGTACAAGGTTTAGATTAGAACAATAGCCAAGCAACATTGCATCCTTTTGTTATTTACTTTATGGAAGAAAACAAGATAAAATGTAAAAGTATTTGCATTATCTCAGATAATTTGCAACACAATACAAACTCAGTACATTGTTTCATTTATGAAGTATTAAAACATTTAAAAAACTTGATACCCTACTTTAACCACTGCATTTATTTCAGTGATGGTGCAAGTTCACAATACAAAAATTATAAAAACCTATCTAACTTATGTTACCATAAACAAGATCATGACATATCTGCAGAATGGCATTTTTTTGCTACATCACATGGAAAGAGTGCGTGTGATGGTGTTGGGGGAACTGTCAAAAGACTTGTAGCAAGGGCAAGTTTACAATCACTAGTTGATCCTATCAATTCATCTAAAAAAATGTATGATTGGTGTAGACAAAATATTGATGGAATACATTTTCAACATATTTCAAATGATGCAGTTACATTACATTGCATGAAATTTAAATTAGAAGAACGTTATGCTACTTGTTCAACAATTCCAGGAACAAGAAACCACCATTGTTTTATACCACAATCATTAACTACTTTACAAATGAGATGGGTTTCATTCGACAATGTGTTTACTAATGTAAATATTTCAACAATGCAACAGAACTATACAATTCCACTTGCATCTCTTTCACCAGGAATTTATATAGCATGTGTTTATGATGGAAAATGGTTTTTAGGTAATATTGTGGAAATATCTGAAGAAAATCAAGATATCTTTATAAAGTTCATGAAGCAGTCTATTTCCTCTAACACTTTTACTTGGCCACATAGAGAAGATATTTGCTGGGTTCCAATAATCCACGTTCTATGCAAAATTTCATCTTTAAAAGTGCAATCAGCAACTGGTAGATGCTATGAACTATCAGCTCAAGAAAAAACTAAAATAATACATTTGTACAATAGAATGTTTAATAACGAAATTATATAATAACAAAGCAAAATTTTTATAAGCTTGATCAACCAAAAAAATGTATTAAAGCATACTTGAATGATTCCACCTTTATGTTGATTTTTTATTAAATAATGTTTTTTAATGCATAATACGTATTATATAATTACATAATAAACTTGTGTATTGCAATGACAAATCAAATTACTCTTATCACTTGATATAATCTAAATTTAAACATGACAATAATAAAATGGGGAAAATGATACTAAATTTAAGTCAGAATATAAAACTGTAAGATAATAACTGATATAGAAACAAAAATGTGTTGTGTCTAATAAGCATTTACAAATAAATAACACAGCTATTATTTGAGTATGTTCAATACTTGGTGTATAAAGATACTTCATGCATCAGATATAATAACAGAAACACTGTATAAGCTAAAATGTTTAATAAACAGTAGTTTAAAATGTCATTGAGAAATAAGTTCTTCATAAGATAAGAATGTTCTGGGCAAAAAAACGCATTTAAAAAAAAAGACAGGGTGGGGGGGGGGGCAACTAAGGTTATTTAAAACCTTAGTTGCCTTTAATTCAGTCCTAATTTAAAGCTAATTTGTAGCAATGATTTTGATATACTTTCATATATATATACATTTTTTTGCATTGCAGTAAATAATGAATACTAAAGTACATCAATATCTCTATTTTTTGCGTTTTTAATGCATTTTGTGCCAACTTCATTGTTCTGACTTTGTAACTTTCCCATGTGTACCCACTATTTTTTTTTCTAAAATCACTTTAATAAAGTCTACTAAATGAGTAGAAAAAAAGTATATCATGAAAATCAGTGTTGATCATAGGTTACCAGTGGATTTAAGGGAAGGCACAATTTTGTAAGTTCTAGCCGGAGCCATTTTTAGGGGTCCATAATTTCTTACTGAATTGTAACATATCAGCAAATTTCTGAAAATTAGGAAGCCTACCATATATAGAAACTAAAAAGATATGTATTTTTACTTCTTAAATTGCTAGTTTTGTATATTGACCCATCAAAAATCAACTTTCTATATCTGCAAACAATTTTTTCCGTTTTTTAGGCAGCCATTATGGATAAAATGTGACATTTAAAAATTTAATATCAAAGTTTTAACAAAGTAAACCTAGCATTGGATATGATAAAAAAAACTAGAAGGTTTTCTGAAATTTAGTTTTTAAAATACAGAGCTTCAAAGTATGAACAAAACATGTTTTTGCTACTGAAGTTTTTATTTTTGAAAAAATCAGAAATTTCAAATGGCCATATCTCATGAACCACATAAGATTTGAAGCTGAAATTTTCAGGAATTGCTTTTCTCATTGATATAAACCAACCCACTAAGTTTTATCAAAATCTGAGGAGGTCCATGTTTGACCCTGGTTCACTTGGCATGGAATGACCCAAAAACAAAACCTTTTTTCAGTAAATTGTTACTTTTTTTAAAATTGTTTCGCTAATATAAAAACATTTGTAAAGAAGTTTTGATGTAATTAATTTCACTTTTTTAGAATATTATTTATTTAGCGCATTTTTAAAATGCTTTTTGAATAAGCCGCGATCAAACCGTTATAGCAAAATGTAACTTGCGTGGTCATATAAAGACGTGAAATTGCACGCCTTCCTGTGAAAACCTGATATATATATATATATATATATATATATATATATATATATATATATATATATATATATATATATATATATATATATATATATATATATATATATATATATATATATATATAGGCTCTAAACTATTAATTGTGTTTGAAATATATTTTTAAATTACTTCAAATGATTGTTTAATAAATGTTTAAATTAATAAAAAGTGAAATTTAATTATTGAAAAAAAAAATAATTTTAAATATTATCTTTTAAAATAGCAATTTTTAATCATTTAATGCTCTGATTAGTAAGTCTATTTATTTATTTATTTAAAGCCTTAGTGTAAAATAAAAACTTGAAAAAATAACAACAATGAAAAGTTAGTCATAATGTAACAAAACTTTTTATTGCATTTAAATTGTACAAACATCAAAACAGCCGTGGTCAAATTGTAAAGAAAAAAAAGTATAAGCGTGGTCAGTTACAAAAATGCTTACAAGCAAGCATTAATGATACTATTTCAAAACATTTTAACAGTGATTTTAAAAAGGAAAAATATCAACAACAACAAAAAGAAACTTACACCTGCAAGTTTCACTTTCAAAAATGAAATTTTATTAAAAAAATGATTTGTTTGCTGCCAAAGCAAAAATTCAAAATAAAATTAAATTATAAAAAAACTTAAAATTAAAACTTTTTTAATAAAAAAAATTTTTAAAAAATAAAAAAAATAGATATCAAAAAGATTATATAGTTAACAATAGAGAAATCATTCATAATAAAACCCTTCTTTGAAGATGAATGTATTTTCTTAGCCAAAATTGGTCAAGGTTTGGATTACCTGAACTAAAAATCAGATTTATTTATTATGGATTTAATTTTTTTGCAAAATCTTGTAGGCAAGATTGTAGTTTATTTTTAAAAATTTACTCTAAAAATACAAACACATTGTATCAAAATATTTAGTTGTATATATATTAAGATTTTTTTAATATAATAGTAATAGAGCACTCGCCTCATAAAGGAGAAGTTCTGGGCTCGATCCCCACCATGTCCCTGGTAGTTCTGTGCTCAATTTGTTTCAAAGCACAGTGGCCTTGTTCGTCAAGGTTCGTGTTTCGTGAGTTATAGAGTTGAGAGAGGGTTGTAACTACAACTAAAAGTAGTCTCCTTAACTCTAGTGGTTTTCATGGCCTTGGGGAGGTTAATTGAAATTGAAATAAAAATAAAATAATGGTTAAAAACCTTACTTGTCACGTGGGTGAAATTGTACTTTTTGAACAGCCGAAGGAAAGCGATAGCGCACTTCACAATCACCTGACAAGACATCCCATAACCCAACATTCCAATCAGTTGAAGATGTTAAAATTTTTTTACCATTACGACTCCAACTAAAATACAAAAATGAAATGTTTTTTTTTTTACTACTTAAAACCTGATTGATGTTTGTTGCGTACAAACTTGAACTAGGATTAAGAATAGTTGAATATCACAAAGCAACAACAAAAACATAAATGTTTAAGGGTTTGACTTTAATAAAACATTTTAATGCAAAATGAAAAACAAACCTGACAGATGAAACAGGATGGACATGTGCCACCAAAACCTTTGCTATCCCACGAGTCAAAAAATCCCAAATAACTAATCGGCCATCATTGCATCCAACAGCAAGTAATGAACCCGTTCGATTAAAAGAGCATGTTAACGCTGCACTTATTGAATCCAAACTTCCATCAAACTCCTATTTCATTTTTTAAAATCTTTTAATTTTTTTTAAATAGAATGTTAATTAAAATCTAATTTAAATATAATTTTTAAAAATGATTTGAAAATAAACAAACTATATTAAAAAAAAGTATATAAAAACTATATATATAAAAACAAAAATATATATTTAAAAAACAAATACCAAAATAATTTAAAAAAAAATAAATTTCAAAAAATTGACTACTCAATTTTTAATATCTTACCTCAGGGAAACTCTGACCAAAGGTTTCTAAAAAATAAAATAACTTATATATATAAAACTTATAAATAAAAATAAGAATATTATTAAAAAGTATATGTATATAAATTTGCTGAATGGTCACACACGAGCAGTAAACTTCTAAAGAGAAAATGAAGTAAAGTAAAATAAAGGATAATTATTTTTGAACAATGCATAATGATTGTTGTCAAAACAAATATATAGATTAGTTACAAATTACTAGTACAAAAACAAAAATAAATAGAGAGCACCCAAGCAATATTTACAAAAGTAAAAAATAATATTTTCATAAATGAACAAACATATACAACAGTTATTAATCACCAAATAAATACATTTGTGAAAACATCCTGGGCATGCAACCCTTAGTCACAGATTTTGCTGATTTTTACACCACTCAAAGATTTTAACAAGTTAAAAAGTTAAGTTTCAAAGATATGACTATTCAAACTTTGACTTGAACCAACAAAAATCCACCATTTTGAATTTGAGTTCGGCAAATGCAATTGCAATATGCAGATGTAGCTTCATTTTTTTTTAATTTTAGATATTGTCCTGAATAGTTTAGTTAGAATATACAAAGAGTTGGTCTTTTCTAAAACAGAAAAAAAAAACATGGCTTAGTATACTTAAATTTGTTATTTATAAAACAGGAGTTATGAAAAATGAAAGGAAAAAAAAAGGAGGTATTTCTAAGTACTTACAAAGAATTTGATATTTAATATTTTTTGGAAAATTTTCACACCCACCCTAAGTTTATTAAGACCTTCTCCCTCCATTTATTAAATTTTAATCAAAGGTGTGGAGTAGGAATTTAGGGCAAATATAAAAAAATACAGTTACAAAAAAAAATCCAAAAATATTGACATTTACCTTATGCTCAAGTGGCGAAATACCCCATAAAAATACCCCAAATTTTTCCTAAATTATTTGGCTTTAAGCGCAAGGTAAATCTCATTTTGTAAACATTTTTTTTCTAATGTGATCACAATGGTCCAAATTTTTTTTTAGACTGTTGTGTATCCTGGTTTTTTCATAATTGTTGTTTAACAGAAAAAAAATTTAACCACATTTTTTGCAAAAAAAAAAACTTTTTTTGTGTAATTTTTTGCACAAATTTTTGTACAAATTTTTTAGACTAGTTTAGGTCTTATTAGACCTCTTTCTATTTAGAATCTACTTAGAACCAAATTAGAATCTCTCCTCATATAATCTCTCTTGTTATCCTCATATAATCTCTCCTGTTATCCTCATATAATCTCTCCTGTTATCCTAATATAATCTCTCCTGTTTAGAACTAGTCTCAAAAATTAGAATAACTAAAACTAGAAAACATTAAAATTAGAAATTATTGAAAGATGATTTGGCTAAAGTTTGAGTGCAAGTGATAAGTATGTTTTACAATCAATTCTCTTTCTTTATTTACAACTCTCAGGTCCTTCATACAATGTGGTGTAGGAATAAAAGGATGGATAGAAACTTTTATCCAAATGTAATAAATGGGAAGATGGAAAAGGCAAGTGGGGGAAAGAGAAGCAGTCTTTTCTGTTTGAAATTTACTACCAGTGCACAAAAAAATGCTGGCCGGACAGTAACTATTTGCTTGCACATGCGATTTAAAAAAAAAAAAAAAATTTAAATTTTTTGGTGAGCCCCCAAAAAAGCACCAGCCATAGTATTGGCAGGCGGGTGGGCGAGCACTAAACTGCAAGAGCGCCCCTCTTGCAGTTTAGTGCTCGCCCACCTGCCTGCCAATAAAAAATAAAGAACAGAGTTATAGAGCAAGGAAACGGTTGACAGAAGACTTGAAAAGTTGAAGGTTGTATAAGTCAGGAAAACATGAAGATAGAAGAGAGTTCCAAAGGATTGAAGTGCGGGGAAAAAAACTAGATGAATAAAAGTTTTTAGAGCATGCAGGGACAGATACAGTAAACGAATGAGACTTAGCTGAATGACGAGTAAAACGAGAATGAATTTTAGTTGATGGAACTAGAGATGATAACTCCTTTGAGCAGTGACCATGATAGTATCTGTAGAAAAGAGAAAGAGATGCAACTTGTCGACGATGGGAAAGAGGTTCAAGCTTAGCAGATAGTCCAGGTCCAACAACATTTACAATGCGTTTTTGGACCTTGTCAAAAAGAGAAAGTGAATCGTTAGAAGAACCAGCCCAAATATGACAACAGTATTACATACAGGGACGAATAAGAGATTTGTAGAGGTAGAGAATGGAATCAGAAGTAAGGAAATGGCGAGCACGATAAAGAGAAGCAACCTTAGCAGAAGCTAATTTAGCAATCGATTGTATATATGGTTTCCATGAAAGGTCAGTAGTAAGCGATAATCCAAGAAGACATAAAGAGGACGACTCAGTAAGAGGATTGCCATTCATTAATTTAGGAATGATGACCATATTACGGTAGTTGTTTGCAGTAAGCAATTGGGTTTTTTTAGAGTTGAAATTCACAAGCCACTGTGAACTCCAATCTATTACTGAAGTGAGATCAGATTCAAGATCAGCTGCTTGTTCTAGGCGATCGAAAAGAGAAGACTTTTTGTCAAGACAGGAGTATAAAGTTGAGTCATCAGCAAAAAGAGCTACTTTAGATGAAAGGTTGTCAGGAAGATCAATTATGTAGATAAGAAACAAAACAGGGCCCAGGCTTTATAAACGAAGTTTATTTTTAAACACTTTAAATTGTTTTATTGGATTCTTCGACTCAAAATATGTAATTGTACACATTTTAGGCTTTCCATTGAGCACAGAACAGAAACAAAGACCAAAACTATTTTCAAAATGGTGGATTTTTCTTGGTTCAAGGCAAAGTTTGAATAGTCATATCTTTGAAACTGTTTGGATTTAAATGATAAAATTTTAGGAATGTTCATAACTTATTAAAATTTTTGAGTGGTGTAAAAATAAGCAAAACATGAAAATTGGGGTTGCATTTTACAAAAAAATTAGATTCTCATGGCTACTCTATAATATAAATAAAAATAACTAAACCAAATATGTAACCATACCACTGGTAGAAAATGTTAAAAACACAATTAACAATATATATATATATATAAGTTATTATAAGTCTAAAGAGAACTTTTTTATCATAAGGCAAGTGAAAGCGCAACAATATATATTTTTTAATAAACTGTACTTTAAACCTTTAATCTTTTTTTGTCACAAAAAAAAGCGCTATTAATGTTAGAAATTTTTTTTTTTTTTTTTTTTTTTGCAATAACTGATATTTTTTGATTGTAAAATTCTTTATTTTTATTTAACTTTTTAAAAGTGAAAAATCATTATTATTTGCAAAGACACAACTTTAAGAAATAATGAATAAAATTAAATAAACATATTTTAATTTATTTATACCAATGTCAAAAAAAAATAAAAAATTAATTTATGTTAAATAATAATAAAAACTAATTATTTAACAATATAAACAATAACTACTTAATATTAAAAAACAAAACAAAATTGAAACAAAATAGACATTTCACAAAATGTAGATTTACAAAACAACACTTCTAGATTAGATTTTCTTAGTAAAATAAACTTTATTTTGTGATAATTTAAACAAGTCTGTCTGTAAACAGAAAATAGAGGCTATTCAAGACAGTTTTGAGAGTGCTGACCATATTTGGGGCGCCGCCCAAATTCAGAAAATAAGGAATTTTTTTTTAATGTTTTTTTTCGTGAAAAAAATGCCTATGCACAGAAATATTTTTGCCAAACTTTTGTTACAACAGGCATACCCCTGTCACAGGGGTACCGCTCATCAACATACCCATGTTATAGGGGACAATTTTTCATATTATCAGTAACAGTGTAATGTTTATATATAACTTTAAGGGGTAAACAGATTCTATCTGTTGACCAGCCTCGCACCCCTTCCTTATCTATTAGGCTGGCGCAGATGTATTTTTAATACATTGTTTCCAGTTTAGGATGTTGAACGCTGGATCTTCTTGACTCAATGTGTGGGTATTGCTTGTGTCTCTATTTTTATAACTGGGCAACTCATTCTATTATCTCCCATAAAACTGAGTTTTAGAGCTGTACCCTCAGCTCTAAAACTCAGTTTTATGGTTCTGAGGCCGGCTGGTAGTCAGGTTTCCCGAACTCTGTGGTAGCTCTCAGAGAGGCTGATTCCATCAACAGCCGAAAAATATCAGAGTACTAACAATGCCATGTTGCGCATGGATGGTGTCCCTGTTTGTACTTTTGGTGTGCATTGCAGAGGCCACATTTGGAGCTCTTTGTTACGGCTTAGGGTTTATTAATAGTAATGAGGCTATTGCTTAGTTGTTAAATAGTGTACTGAGTACTATCTATACTTGAGTCAAGTTCTTTATAAATTTAAAATGACTAAAGTACCTAAAACTAAAAAACACAAAAAACCATCGTCATCACCAAGTTCTCTAAACCTATCATTTACTAATATTCATGGTCTTCGAAGTAACTTTTCTTCTGTTGAGTCTTATCTCTTGCAAAGTTCACCAGACCTACTTGCTCTTTGTGAGACTAATTTGAGTTCGGCTGTCCCATCTTGTGATCTTAGTGTTGATGGTTATCTTCCTTTAATTTGTAAAGACTCCAATAATCACATGCTTGGCCTGGGCATCTACATTAGTAAGAACTCACCCATTTTTTTTTTTTTTTTTTTTCATCTTCACTTCCAACAAGGCTGCAAGCAATCACTATAAGATTTGGAAGTTACTGGAAGAGAAATGACTAAATCTGTAGAGCAAGATGACGATTGACTGATGACTTAAAAGATTGCAAATTATATGAATCAGGAAAGCAAGATGAAGGAAGCGAATTCCAAAGAACTGATGTTCGAGAAAAAAACTAGAAGAATAAGAGTTTTTGAAGCACTTAGGAACAGTCACAGAAAAAGGATGAGACTTAATTGAATGGCGAGTAACACGAGAATGAATTTTAGTAGATGGCACAAGGGACGCTAGCTCTTTAGAGCAGTGCCCATTATAGTATTTGTAGAAAAGAG